TAAATTGACTGGGATCTGTGGCTGGTTTCTTGGGACCAGAAGAACCCATTCGGGGTGGGTGAGATTGGATTCTAAAACCCTTCACCTGTGTGCAGGTCTGGGGCTGACTGTGGCACAGGAAAAGCTGGGGTGTCAGAGGGATTCTGCTTGTGAGGCATCTTGCTGGCCAGATTGTCAGCCGAAGCGCTCGGTGCGACTGGTTTGTGGCCTGTTGGAGAGAGATCTCAAGTCTGGGGCTGTAATTAGCCCCAAGTTTGAGTAATTTGCCCTGAGCGTTTGCCCTCGGCAGAGCCTAGACCCGGCCCGGTCCATCACACAAGCGAGAACCCAGAGACCCGTGTTCCCACTCCACACACTCGGCTGCAGTGACGTGTCTGCAAACTACCTCGCGAGGTGCCAGGTGACTCTCCAAACACGCCGGTCAGTGACATGCCTGTGGGGCAGACATGACGGAGCCCCAGGGGAGGTATAGCTGCCCTCTGCCAGTCTGTGCATGAAGGAAGGGGAACCAGGCACACCTCGAGCAGTTAGATGGGCAGTAAACAAACCCGTCCGGCCCGCCCTAGGCTGTCACACAGCTGTATCCCTCCAGAGCCTCCCCTCCAGCATCCAGAGGGAGACAGGAGAGCTTCTCCTCACAGCCCCCGTCTCAGAGAGGTTGTCTCCTTCTACTCACCGCCAGTCCTTCCCCAGCTGGTCTGTCTCTCCCACCAGGCTTGGCCTGGCCTCGAGCTCCTCCTGTCCCGTTAGTGCCAGAGCCAGTTGGGACGCTAGTGGATTGTGAGAGCAGACACGGGTCCCTGGTTCGAACCTCGCCGGGTGTTTGCCCCAAGTCTGGTGCAACGTGGCCGGGGGAGGTGTCTGTGCCAGTCTGTGGTTCCCTGACTCTGCTTGTGCCGCTCACACCCATGTGCCACCTGTGTCTGCGAAGCGAGGGGCCTCGACTCTGTGTCTCTCCTCAAAAAATGAGGTTTACAGAAAGATTCATTTTCGACAGAGCTGCGTCTATACTGCTGGGGGGTTTTTTTGAAAAAAAAACCTCAATCTTGAAAAAAAGCGGCAGCCATGTTTATGCTAATGAAGCACAGAATATTTAAATCCCGGCTTCATTAGCAATTTCGATGTACCTAATCTACATCTCCCTGTCACCGTCTTCGGGAAAGCTCCCAGAGCCGGAGCAGAAGAGTCGGTTATAGTTGCCCCTGGGTGTGTGGTGGATTCAGAGTCTTCACATGAACGAGCAAGATCCCAGCTGGGCCAATGGGCTGTAGCTCTACTGGAGTCAAAGGGGTAGACCCCAGGTGGGTCAATGGGCCGTAGCTCCATTGGGGTCAATGGGGCAGACCCCAGGTGGGTCAATGGGCCGTAGCTCCATTGGGGTCAATGGGGCAGACCCCAGGTGGGTCAATGGGCCGTAGCTCCATTGGGGTCAATGGGGCAGACCCCAGGTGGGTCAATGGGCCGTAGCTCCATTGGGGTCAATGGGGCAGACCCCAGGTGGGTCAATGGGCCGTAGCTCCATTGGGGTCAATGGGGCAGATCCCGACAATGAATCTCTAGGTGCCAATTCACACCTGAGGACTGTGACTGATACCTGCAAACCAGCCAGGGCATAATAGCTAACAGCATGTGAAATGGAGATAGGTCGGAGCTTGTGACCTGTTCAGGCCAGGAGGATTCCAGGAGAGTTATATAAGTGCCATATGTTCTCTGTGCTGATACTGGCCTGGACGTCCTGTTGTAAAGAACAATTATTTAGTTTGACTGTGCTAATTAGCGAGGATCCAGGGACGATGGCTCCCAAGGTGCCCAGTACACACCCGAGGATTGCGTCTGGAAATCTGGATACCTGCAAACCAGCCAGGGCATAATGGCTGCCAATATGTGAAACAGAGATAGGTCACTCGACTGTGTGACTTGCTCTGGCCAGGAGAGAGAGATAAGGCCACGAAGTGGACTCCATCTTGTCTTGAGTTCAGCTCCTGATCCCAGATGCAGCCCTGCAGGAAACAAGGAGCCGGGAAGAACTGTGGACCCATCCTGACATAGGATGTTCACCAAAGACTTTTAAGCCAGCAGTTTGTAACATCTCTGCTGAGAGCCTGTATCAAGAACTGGATGATTCGATGCATGTAACGTGTCCTCCTTAACAACCTGACTCTCGTGTTTTTCTCTCTTTTAGTAATAAACCTTTAGATTTTAGATTCTAAAGGACTGGCCCAGCGTGGTCTTGTGGGTAAGACCCAGAGTGTAAATTGACTGGGATCTGTGGCTGGTTTCTTGGGACCAGAAGAACCCATTCGGGGTGGGTGAGATTGGATTCTAAAACCCTTCACCTGTGTGCAGGTCTGGGGCTGACTGTGGCACAGGAAAAGCTGGGGTGTCAGAGGGATTCTGCTTGTGAGGCATCTTGCTGGCCAGATTGTCAGCCGAAGCGCTCGGTGCGACTGGTTTGTGGCCTGTTGGAGAGAGATCTCAAGTCTGGGGCTGTAATTACCCCCAAGTTTGAGTAATTTGCCCTGAGCATTTGCCCTCGGCAGTGCCTAGACCCGGCCCGGTCCATCACACAAGCGAGAACCCAGAGACCCGTGTTCCCACTCCACACACTCGGCTGCAGTGACGTGTCTGCAAACTTCCTCGCGAGGTGCCAGGTGACTCTCCAAACACGCCGGTCAGTGACATGCCTGTGGGGCAGACATGACGGAGCCCCAGGGGAGGTATAGCTGCCCTCTGCCAGTCTGTGCATGAAGGAAGGGGAACCAGGCACACCTCGAGCAGTTAGATGGGCAGTAAACAAACCCGTCCGGCCCGCCCTAGGCTGTCACACAGCTGTATCCCTCCAGAGCCTCCCCTCCAGCATCCAGAGGGAGACAGGAGAGCTTCTCCTCACAGCCCCCGTCTCAGAGAGGTTGTCTCCTTCTACTCACCGCCAGTCCTTCCCCAGCTGGTCTGTCTCTCCCACCAGGCTTGGCCTGGCCTCGAGCTCCTCCTGTCCCGTTAGTGCCAGAGCCAGTTGGGACGCTAGTGGATTGTGAGAGCAGACACGGGTCCCAGTCCACCCTGCTGTGTGTTTGCCCCAATTCTGGTGCAACGTGGCCGGGGGAGGTGTCTGTGCTGGTTCGAACCTCGCCGGGTGTTTGCCCCAAGTCTGGTGCAACGTGGCCGGGGGAGGTGTCTGTGCCAGTCTGTGGTTCCCTGACTCTGCTTGTGCCGCTCACACCCATGTGCCACCTGTGTCTGCGAAGCGAGGGGCCTCGACTCTGTGTCTCTCCTCAAAAAATGAGGTTTACAGAAAGATTCATTTTCGACAGAGCTGCGTCTATACTGCTGGGGGGTTTTTTTGAAAAAAAAACCTCAATCTTGAAAAAAAGCGGCAGCCATGTTTATGCTAATGAAGCACAGAATATTTAAATCCCGGCTTCATTAGCAATTTCGATGTACCTAATCTACATCTCCCTGTCACCGTCTTCGGGAAAGCTCCCAGAGCCGGAGCAGAAGAGTCGGTTATAGTTGCCCCTGGGTGTGTGGTGGATTCAGAGTCTTCACATGAACGAGCAAGATCCCAGCTGGGCCAATGGGCTGTAGCTCTACTGGAGTCAAAGGGGTAGACCCCAGGTGGGTCAATGGGCCGTAGCTCCATTGGGGTCAATGGGGCAGACCCCAGGTGGGTCAATGGGCTGTAGCTGCTTAGGAGTCAATAAGCCCCAATTCCCAATGGGTGTAAATCAGAATAACTCACGGGAGGTTCCATTGCACCGGCTGACACCTTAGGCCACTCCAAGAAGAGCCGGCCCCCAGCGGTTGCTCCCCAGGCTCCTTCCCCCAGTCCAGACCCAGGCTGGGAGGAAGTGGCGGAAGCGGGCAGCTGTTCTCTGTCCCTCCTATTGAGAGATGCTGCCGCCTTTCCAGCCCCCTCGCTGAGCGGTGGCCTCGCCTGAGGCTGTGACTTCCCCTGCCTGCGTCAGAGGGAAGGGGACCTTCCTCCTTTGTGTGCCCAGACGGGGCTGGTGGCTGAGCTGAGAAACTGCTCCCAGCACAGAGCGACTGGCTCAGCATGGTGCTGCCTCTGCTCCTGCCTCTGCTGGGTAAGTGCCCCCCTCGGCCCCCATAGCTTCTCATGTTTGTCTAGAGACTCTCTCCCCCAGTCTCCCTCCGCCCCATCCCCTCCTTGTGGATGACACTCCCGCCCCTTCTCATCTCTTCCAGCCTCACTCCAGACTCTCCCCTGGCTGGTGTCCCCGGCAGGTAAGGACGGCTCCTGGCCTTGCTGAGATGAGCACGGCAGGGTGGGGGGTTCTCGGGCAGTGGGGGTGGGGACTCCCCTCCTCTTCCATTGTCTGTTTGGAACTGCCAGGAAGGGGGGTTCCTGGCTGGGTCTGGCGGCCCCAGTCATAGGTGTCTCCCATGGAACTGGCCCCAGGAGCAGCAGCTCCAATCCAGAGCTACATTTATGGGGGTGGAGAAGTGACCCCAGCTGATGCCTGGTTGCGGTGGTCTCTTTGGTGGGTCCCTGACCAGGCTTTAGGAGAGAAACTCCCCCATCTCCATGGGTGCTACCCTGGCTGTTTTGGACAGATTCAGCAGGGATAGGGGCCGGGGCGGATCCCCAGGGCTGGTGGTTTCTGAATGCACCTGAACATGTTACTCAGAGCTTGGCTCTAGGTCATGGAGAGGCGCACAGGTCTGGAGAGAGCCCGGCCTGGCTATTGGCCATGGGGTGTTTCCCCCTGGCAGGGAGCTGGGGTGGGTCTGTGCCTGTGTCCTAGGTCATGGAGAGGCGCACAGGTCTGGAGAGAGCCCGGCCTGGCTATTGGCCATGGGGTGTTTCCCCCTGGCAGGGAGCTGGGGTGGGTCTGTGCCTGTGTACAGTGCTTCTGCCCGGGCAGACAGCTACACTGACGTGCCAACCTCCTGGGCATGTGCAGCCTTCGGGATACAGATTCTTCTGCCAGAGAGGGCAGCAGGGCCCCAGCGCAGTCCAACGTAATGCGGTAGGAGACATGCTGGTTCTCACAGTGGAGAAGGGAAGTGCCAGGACCTACACCTGTGTGTACTGGACAGAGGGACCCAATGGACCGGTCTCTGAGCACAGCAACTCCGTCTCCATCTCCATAGCAGGTGAACCCCATTTGGACGGGCGAGTCCCTGGGAATGCAAAGCCCCCCGGTATGCCAGCCTCACCCTTGTCCTTGGGA